TGTATTCTCTTTACCAGTGCATCCCGGCGCACGCAGCATGGATTCAGAGGATTCTTCTTTGTTGTGGCATTGGCAGTGTTCGCCGGGAATGCTTCCTCCTGGAGGAGAGGAATAAAAACAGGCAGTTTGCTTGGATTTGCTTGGGTGACAAAGATATGTCACTTGGGCTTCATTCATGGTGGCAAAGGATAGAGAAGAATGATGCGGAAGTATCGAGCGAGGACTACATGGCGTCTTTCAGCATTTTTAATACAATGCTCTTGCCGTTACCTTCGGTCTTAGCAAGTAGTGGATATTATGTAAGGATGCTGGCCTGCATTTACCTCCATGTTTTTGCTCAAGAGGATGGCTTTACAGATGGAGGTGTCAGGTAATGTCTTGAGGATCCGGCGCGGACAGTGGGATACCGGCCGATTGTCGGTCACTTGCTTACGGCATTCAGGCTCCAAAGTTTGGGGACCGCCTCGAAGAAAAAGAAGGAAGAGGAAGAGTTCTACGATTATCCGCGTGTTGATTCGTTCAAGGATGACAAGAGCGTTGGAAAGTTTGCAAAGTGGTTATCGGTGGAGCTGGATGATCGAAGTGAAGAGCAAGGAAAGGAGAAGTTTGCAAGAATGTCCAGTGAGAAAACGAAGAAGCAGATGATGAAGAGAAGGATGGTGATGCTGGCGAGGGTGATTCATGGTTAGTTTTGACCGTTCCAAACACCGACTGGCCGACTGCTTGACTATGGTTATCAACCGGTTGTGAAAATGCCGAATGGCTGAACGGTTCGCAAATTTTTTTTGATAAAAAAATTAAATTTTTTTAGTAAAACCACAAACCAAAGCATTAAAACCAAACCAAACCAAAGCATTAGATTAAACCAAACTAACTACTACTCATCTTTTTCAACATTTTCAGTAAGTTTTTCGACATTTCTAGCATCTTCCCCAACAATCACATTTTTATTTGAAAGATCTTCTTCAGCTAAATCTTCTATACCAAGAGATTCAAACCTAACTTGCATTGCTATGAATTGCTAGAATCAAATCTCTGAAATCACTCGAATCGTAATTTCCATTTTAGGGCAAAAATTTCAAGCGTCACGGACTGGGTGATTTGATTTGCGAGGCCTCAGTGAGCTGCTCTGCGCTCAATCGAAAGCAGAGGCTGGAGAGTGTCGCCTTGTAGAGCTTGGTACGCACGCAGCTCCTATAGGCTATAGCCCTCTTCATCAGATTCTATTTAGGCTAGCTAGGCTGGGCATTCGTGGATGGAATCCGATGGATGGATCTCTTCATAGCAGCAGGAGAATAGCAAAGCAGTGGAGATGCAGTGGCGATGGCGATAGCCGCAGCAGCATCAAAAATCTAGCGCGATCACCATTTTTTTTCCCAAACGGAATCACCGAACGGAACTGTCCAACCGTGTTCGGCTGACCTTGTTCGGCTGACCGCGTTCGGCAGCGGTCGGGATTTCGGCCGAACGCGGTCAGGTTGGTGACTAAGAAGATGGTGAAGCTCAGTGGCCGTGACTTGTCCGAGTAAGAGTTTCACGAACGAGGGAGTCCTCCTCTGGAGCAGATCACGAGATCAAGCGCATCAGCGTTCAAGTCCCACGTCGAAAGGAAGTGTGAGTGGCTGGAGATGCAAGGCCAAGGTCGCAGAGCCCGCAAGCTTCGGCGAGATCTCCAAAAGAGCGATAGAGCGCTCCTGGTGTCGAGGCGCGAGTACGCGCAAGAACAGCCGAGGCCGCCTCTCCCACGACGAGATTGCATGGCTTCGCTGCAAATGTGCTAGACTTCTACCTCTTGAAAAGATTTCTCGTCAAAATTCATGGCCTCGTACCCACCTCAATCCTCCACGATGCTGCGGGTTTCCACTGGACATTAACGCGAGGTCTGGCGATGGTGACAAAGTCCTTGTGTCCGGGATGGCAAGGACGCTCTTTGGAGACCGTGTTCTTCGAGAAGCGTGTATCTTAAAGAACTTCCATCCTCGTTTCAAAAAGGCATTTAGCCAGGGGCATTTGAAGCGTTTCCGTATACGGCCGGTAATAAGCTCGAGAATCCTGCAGCTCTCGAAACACCTTGAAGAGCGAATAAAGTGGTCGAGAAACGATGAAGTGTTTTAGCTGGAGCGTGTTTCTGTGTGGAATGCAAGGAAAAGATGGAAGATCACTATGATCTGAACTCTATCGCTGTTCTACAAGCTAAAACAAAGAAAGTGGAAAAGCCCTTAATCGGGGGAGCTGGAATAAAGAATACTCTTGCACACTGAGCATTAGAGTATTTTGAAGGATCTATATGTTACAAAAATTTGGCGTTTACATGAAGAACGAGCTTTTCCCGCTCTGCCTATATAGACTGCCCAACATATATTCTTCAAACTTCGACTTTGCAAAACTACAAGCATCATCCGAGAATTTGTGAAAAGATCACTAAAAAGGAAAACAGGCGTTCCAGAGCATCAAATTTACCAAGCCATCTGATGCTGAGCGAGCTTTAGAAGTACTCACGCCTGACTCAGAGACCCAGACGTGGACTCAGACCTCTCCTTCTTTACTGTAATCTATATTTCAGCCTTCAATTAAAAACCAGAAACTAGAATCATACCTGTTGATGGCATCCTGGAATACGTTGCTGACAAAGAAGACGAAAAGTAATCAATAGTCTGCTTAATGGAGGCTTCCCGCTTCGCATGATTGTCTTCGATGTCGGCTGATGTTAATGTAAGTGCCCGGTCTCCAATAAACGTGCGGATCAAAGAAGTGAAGAACAGCAAGCCACCTTCATCGATAGGTTTGTCTGGATTTACAGGAAGGGTCATCTCCTGAAAACATAAACATACATGCATAAACAAGTAGAGCAATTGAAATACATGCTAACCGTGGCACAGAAGTCTAAACTTCCAAGCACATATTCATCGTCTGGAAATTGATTAAGACGGAAATACTGTTCAGAGAGAATCCGTGTGAAATCTCTCAACCTGGACTCCAAATCTTCCAAAGATGCCTTCCTCTTGTCTGTAAATCAAATCTGTCAAAATAAATGTAATTTGATTAGTCTAACCTTGAATTGCCGTGTGAACGTTCAAGATCGTTCCATCTTTAACCGTCACGATACCTTTTGGTCTTAGTACCCCGTAACGCCATCCTATGAAACACAAAACTTAGTTTGTGTAACCTGAAAGCTCCTCCTTTACCTCCTTTATACCAATGGTGGACGTAAATGGGTCCATATCGCCCCTTTTTCATGTTCAATTTGGCTGCTCGGATAGCATAACCAGCACCTTGATCAAGCTTCGTAGGGGTTCCTTTCCAGTCGCACTCGATAATAATCACAGTAACCAGATTGTTTGCTGGATCGAGCAACGTATCGCGAACCTTTCCCTGAAACAAACCAAAATCAGCACATACTAAGGCTACCAATGTTTTTCTTCCTTGCCTTAAGATCATATCTGTCGAGGCCAACAAAATCATTTGGGTCAACCACACGCTCCTGGCCTTCATCCCCTTCGTGTCCAATTTCATCGCTTTCTTGTTCAATAAATTGCACTGCAGAAGTTTCTTCGAAGTCAAAAGAACAAAACAAAACCAAAAATAACTTACGGTCTTTCAACTGAAGCTGCTCCTTTCCTCCAATAACCACCTGGGAGTCTGTTTCAGAAGATGGCGTCGTAAGAAGCTTTATATTTTGCAGAATACTGGCGTGTACAATTTGTGTGCCAAGTTCGGTCCTGAACCGCCGGCTAGTTACTGCAACGGGCTCTAGAAGAATATCAACCGCTGCCTTGAATGCTGCTTCATCCATCAGCTTTCCATCAGAAACATTATCTGGTGGCATAAACCTCAGCTCCGGAACTTCCCTGATGTCCACAAACGGATTGTTTATTTCCAGTAAACGCCTATCATAGCTGCTTTTCTGTAAAAGAACTCTCAAAAACATCTTAGCATGGAAATCGAAACACTCACCTCTGCCTGAAAAGGGTTGCCGAGATACTTGGCCCGTTTATTTGGTAGATCGTCCCAATCCTCATCTCCCACCTTTCTCTTGGACAGATTCGAAAGCTCTGCTTCCTTTCGAAGCACACGCTCCCGTAGACTTTCCAGCTCGCGAGATATCTTTTCTGCCTTTCGCTCCTCTGCTTCTTTCTTCCTTGTCTTTGGTACCACGGCCTTCCTAGCAGCCGCTCGCATCGTGCTACACTTGAGATGAGCAGCAGAAACCAATCGATAACCGGGCCGGTCCAGCCCTCAGAGCAATTGATGATTCTCGAGACGCAAAACTACAAACCACCAAAACCCTAATGAGATTTTAGGGTTTAGCTAAACCTCCTTTTCTCAACGCTCTAGGGTCTAATCAAAAGGAAAACATAAGCAAAATATTCTATTTGTCAATCTGCAGTATAATCCAGATTATAATTAGCATTATTATAATTAGATTATCCAGAGATCAGCAAGGCCTTCGGGTCGGTTTTCCAAATGATGTCAAAGCCTTCCTTCAGCTTCTTTCCCGTTCGTAAAAATTGTTTCGAAAGTATCTTTGATAATCAAGTGGCAGCCTCACCTGATGGACACACATCCATCTCATGACAAGCAAATATTTTCAAGGCAGCAGTATTGCCACAGTGGCTCACACATCTTGTATGCAGATGGGTTCTTCATTTCCCTCTTCTCTTGTCATGATACAGTCAAGTTTACATTACACTTCTGCTCGTTTGCCAATTTTTTGCGCGAGTATGAAGACTTCATACCTTAACGCGATTAGATTAAGTTAATGTTTTAGACAAAAGAGCATCCCCGTGTACGAATTCGATTGCAAAACGAAACGAAAGTTCTAAAGTATTATACACCTTGCATTTTCTCGAGGAGAAGTTTTACCTTCGGCCTCTTTCACCGCACAAGGCATGCGACACATACAGTGGACACGAGCCGAGCCGGGAACTAGTTTTTGCCACGTACGGGCCTTATACAGTATAAATATCTGCCATCTCAAATGTAAAGAAAGTAGTTCATTTGCACAGTTTATTTTTTCCTAGCTAGCTCGCAGCTCAAAAACAATGGCACTCGTCTCAGGCAGCAGCATCGCAACTCTCTCTTCTTCCTCTCTCATCTCCAACAAGCTCCACCTCCAATCCCAATTGCCCACGAGCTCCAGCTCGCGAAATCTAGTAGTGAGAGCGTCCTCGAACAAATCCAGGGATGGTGGCGATGGCGGGATCAGTGGCATCCTCGACGACACCAAGAAGGAGGTCACCCGCGAGGAAGTTCTCAAGAACCAGGCCGAGAACGAGTCGGAGAAGCGCTCAGTGTTTGGCGCCGTGCCATCGTCCGGATCGCTCTATCCCAGGCCAGAGGTTGAGAGGCGACCAGAGACTGGCGATCGATCATTCCCCAGCTTGATGGCGTTCGATGGAGCCGGCCCAGAAACGATTAATGGAAGACTGGTAAGAGATTCTTCGCGTTTTTGCAAGCAACTAACGTGAACTTGACAAGCAGGCAATGATTGGATTGGTGTGGGCATTCGCGGTGGAGCGAATGACGGGACAAACGGTGGCGGAGCAGCTCTACTCGCCGGGGAGCACTGGTCTTTTCCATTTCTTGGCAGTGGCACAGCTATTCGCGTACGCGTCGCTGGTGCCCATGTTTAAGGGCGAGAGCCCCGACAGTAGATCAATTGGGCCGTTTAGAGCCATGGCGGAGCGCTGGAACGGGCGAACAGCGATGCTTGGATTCCTTGCTTTGGTGATCACCGAGTTTTTCACCAAGACTCCAGTGTTCCACATGATGTAAATTTCCCCTCAAAACGTAATTGCCATTCTTTAGCAACTTAAAGCATGTAGTAAAGCCCCCCATGGTTGGACCATGTAAACGTCCGCCAATGAGAGCAGTAGATCTCAGTTTCAGACTGTCTTCTTGACAATGTAAAAACCAATTATAGTAATCACCAAGACTCCTGATGTCAATTTGTTAATATAGTGTTGTGTTTAAATCATTCCTGGTCCCAAAACCTTCTCGCACAATTGCTGCTCTTCATGTGGCCAAACTGGTGGCTGCCCCTTGAAAAGAGTAAAGATTCCATTCTTTTCACCCTGCATCCTCTTCCATTTAGCCTTGGCAAGCTTCTTACCTTCATTTACCTGTGTTATTAGCAAAAGTAAAACCATCATCAGTCCTTAGAATTCAATTTGGACTAGAGATTCTTTAATGTACTTTGTCAATTCTTATATTTGTGGCTTGGGATTTGCCACTGGTGCCTTCTTGTTGTCATTCGGCTTTTTCTGCTGCTCCTTCATGTATACTGCAAACAGCATAACATCTTCCTTTTCCTCTGCTCAAGAATCTTTCCCCACAAATTTTTGCTGATCTTGCTCTTCCTTTGCTGACTCTTCAGCAACTACCAAATGATTCATTGATCCTTTCTAAAGCAATGGGCAATTCTTGGCTCAGTGATCATCAACTACACAACTACAGCATTTTTCAGATTTTTGGCATAAAACAAATTTTCTATTTCCATAACTTTTTACCAAAAAATTACTCAAATATCCTCACCTGATTGAGAGCTTCTCTTAACTCATATCGTCCAGCTTGGAACAAGAGACGTTTCCCATGGCTTCCGAAGTTCGAATGCATCCCTGAGTACGAAGATCTGCCAACGTACAGTAAATGGTGACCTTATGGCAGATGTGCTTGTAGCTCTAGATCAATATGGGATTGCTCATCGTCTACATGATCATCATAGGTAAAGTCACTTTTTCTCTCACATCTACTCTCCTTTGGAACCATTCTTTTTTTGTTCTCGAGCATGTGTTTCACCTTTGTTCCGTCCCCGTGCCTTCCAGGTGGTGCCATGCGATCTCATAGTGGGAGAGGCTATATATCTGCCTCAATGCTCCGGTTTTCCACTGGATAGAAACGCAAGGTTCGGCGATGGCGGCAAAGAGGATGGCAAGACCATATTGTGTTGGAGGCCGTGTTCTTCGCTGGAGCTGAGAAGCGTGGAAAAGCTCTCGCGTGGCCATGGTGAAGCGACAAGAATCTTTGTGAGCTCTCACTTATTTTCTTCGTTTCAAGCTTCGTGGAAGTTAGGACCCAAAAGACGCATCACCGACATCCCACCTTCCCGGCAGTCCCTAGTGAACGAGAAATATTTCGTTGTGGAGCTCCATGATCTCTTCAATCCAGGCCGCCGCTCGCTGGAGCTAAAGCTACCGATAGGCCGCATTGCTCCACAAAGTCTAGGGTTCTTTTGATGGCTCCATCTTCCAGCGCTTATATACTCACTCGTAGCAATTCCAGTGGTTTGCAAGCTATGGATATTTCTTGCTTCGAAGAGCCAGAGGTCAGCTCTACCCGGAGTTGAAGCCCCGGTGCGCATGCTTCCATCTCCTTGAATCATTCTGCAGCCTAGAAGATCTTTCGCTTGGTCAAGGCAGTAATGCGCAACGGCAGCCATCTCTTCATGCCGAGGTAACAAAGTCTTGATCATGTGGGTCGAGTTTCCAGAAGTACTTCTAGCGCTAGATCTCTGCTTCCTCTCCTTGGAATCTCCACACCTTGAGGTGTTCTCCATCGGCTCATTCTTGGCTATTCAATGCAAGGCCCTCCCACGCTTGACGAGGCTCCCGTGATGCAGTTTAGGCTTTCGAATCGACAGGGGCAACGCTTCTGGAGTACTTGAGATTGCAAATGGTGGACGTCAACCTAGAGTTACACAACCCCAACGTGAACTACTTGGAGCTCCTGAGTTGCAGAGGCCCATGGCACTGATAAATGTGAGTGGATGACTGGTCACACAGGGTAAGATCCTTGAGAGGGTGCACCTCAATGGCTTGTTCTAGCTAGAGGTGGTTTCTTCTCCGCTTAATTTCTTATGTAATCTGGAAGTTCTTTCCTTGGAGAGATGCACGTTTGGAGTGTTTAAAGCTTTCTCCAAGGTTTCAAGAGAATAAAGGCCAGGACTCATTGTGCATTTTGGAGTTTTTCATGCGCTTACCCAGCATCCGAGAGCTGAGGACGAACCTGAGCATGTAGCGAGTAAGCTTTGCATTGTACTTGATTGATTATTTGATTCATCGGTGCCTCACTGGATTTTTGTTGGTGATCAGGGATTCAGGAGTGACAAACACAGAAAGCTCAACCTCGAGAAGCTCCAAGTTTTGGACGTCTGGCTGCCATTTTCCAGCCCAGGCGAGAACAACAAAGAGCAAGAGATGGCAACCAAAGTTCTGCTGGCAGCGGCACCCAACGCGGACTTTCAATTGACTGTCGAGATTTCTATAGATCATTCCTTTCGAAACGCTTGAACTTGTATTTCACCGTTCAAGGTGGCCCCGAATGTTCAACGACAAAATCTGCCAACAACAGCTCCGGAAGAGGTTGAAACGTCAAAAGGTATTTCTCTTCTATCAGGATTCTTCAAAGATATGCTGTTTACTTTTCTTCGTTTCAAGAGCTCATCTCCCAGCTTAAGATCAAAGGCTTTGCATTAAGATCGAGAGTTTTACATTTCCAACCGGCTGGAAGGCCTGGCGCTCTACACACAGATACGTACAGTGAATGATCTCTAGGACCAAGTCCGCGTACCATTACTGACGCCTGGTTTGTCTTTCTTGGATCCCGGACTGATCATCCCGTACACGTTTGTTGTGATTGCCGTGACGCTAGAAACCACTGCCAGGATCACCATGATCCACGCTATCGTTTTGTCATATCCCGTGGCGATGCCGTGCTTATCCCTGCGTGACGAGAGCCGGGTGGTGAGCGCGCACGGTACTCTAGGCGGTAAAACTTTGATGCTTACCTCAGAGCGATGATCCCCGGGAAGACAAAGCCGATGCACACCGCCGCTGTGGCTCCCGTGAACTGGAACGCCGTCCAGATGTTTGGGACGAGCGTGGAGCCGAAAAAAATCACGAGGATGAGGACGGCGGTGATGCACGCGAACCGCCGGTTGTCCTCGGAGATTGGAGCGGACTTTGGGAAGAGCAGGGAGTCGAGGTTGATCCGGAGGGAAAAATGGATTAGTGGGAAGACTAGCATGAGATGGACGGCGTAGCCAACTCGGACAATCCCGGCCAGGACTTTGCCGTATGGGATCCGGAGGTCGGCGTCAAAATTGGCGAGTACGTCGTCCATGGTGCTGGCGCCGAAGAGAAGGTAGCCAAACAGAGCTGTCGCAATATACACGAAGGTGCAGATGGTGATGGAGACGCGGCAGATCTTCTGCATGGAGGCAGGATCGTCGAGCTCGTTGGCGATGGGATGAACTGCAGCAAAAGGATTGTCATGAGCCAAAGAAAGCGATGGACGACTTACGGTTGTGGTGACAAATATACGCAGTCACAATGACTGGCACGGCCGTGAACAGCTTCCAGAACGAGAACTGATCGTGGACGTCGGGCAGCCATCTTGGCGAAGGGATCTCCTTGTACACCAGCTTCGTGGCAGTAATCACCCCAGTGACCACGACGAAAACAACAGCCAGAGCAATGGACAGAGCTGACGAAAACCTTAGCGAATCTGCAAGAGCATGGCAGCTTTTAGACATTAATATCGAAGAACCAAAACAAAAACAAAAGAGAAAAGAGAAAAGGAAGATTGGCTCACCGACACGCTTGAAAGACACCAACGGGACCAAGACCAGCACTGTTGTCAGTAGGAGTATAAAAAATCTCCCATTCCACCAGAAGGAGCCGCCACCCCACTCTTCCAAAACTCCGGAGTGATGAGCAGCGCCCTGACCAGAACCCGACAACACATCACCTGGAGAGATTTCCCACACGAGGACGAAACAAAGGTGAAACACATGCTCAAGAACAAAAAAATATGGTCCACGGAAGGAGTAAATGCGAGAGAAAAGGTCACTTTACCTATGATGATCATGTAGACGATGAGCAATCCCACATTATTGACGATGATCGAGAGCTGCAAGAGCGTCCGCCCAGTGATCCCAAATGCGTCCGCCATGAGCGAGCTGTAGCTCAGCGAATTCGCGGCCTTGGAGAAGCGCAGGAGAATCTCCAGCGACGCGTCCGTGAGAATGCCGACGAGCACGATCGTGATCATCCCCAGGAAGATCCCCAGCTCCTTTTGCGTCGCCGGCAATGCCATAATCCCGGCCCCAACGATCGTGGTGAGGAGATTGAAGACCGCGCTGGGAGCCGAGGCGCCGGAGATTCCCACCTCGAAGCCTTCCTCCTCCTCCTCCTCCTCATCCCGCCGCTTCGGCAGCAATGGCGAGCGCTCCGTGGCCGGATTATCGGTGATCGCCACGGCCGTGTGACCTGACGACGCCATGGAGGACCTCTGCGATCCAATCAAGACACGCAATCTGCCGCAACTTGCACAGCGAATCGAATCGAAATTCTCGGGAAATCTCTACCTGGAACAGCGCCGTCGCGGCGAGGAGCGAGGATTTTGCGCGAATCACAGCAAAGAAAGACGAGAAGAGAGGAGCGCCTTCCTCGGCGTCAAGAATCAAGGAAGAACCCCAATAGAATCTATTGCACGGTGGAACTCTATATGGGCAAGAACGGACGGCCAGGATCTTCCCGGCACGCGTTCCCGAATATTCGTGTTCTTTATTCCCACCCCACTAAAGAAAAATTAAAGAATGGTCCGTGCTACAAAAATACGAAGAACTTTCACTTGGTAACTTCGTGGATCGCGTTCGCGAGATACTCCACATTTCCAGTGGTAACGCCGGCCATGCTACAATAGAGAATTCCATGGAATCAATGAAAACCAAATGGAAGCTACACGGTTTACCTTATGCGACCGTTGCGAGTCATGTAGATGTGAAACTCTTTGGTCAGACGATCGACTTGATCTTCCGTGAGACCGCTGTAGCAAAACATTCCAATCTGCGTAGAGAAACCAGCGGTAAGCGAGACGAATGAATCAAATCTCAATCTCAATCCACCTGTTCTGTGATGTGCTTCCACGGTAGCGATGAGCCGAGCTTCTCCAAGTTTGATTTCAAAGCCTCACGCATTCCTATGATCCTGTCCGCCATCACCTGAAAGGAGAGGACTTTAAGAACTGGGACGCGTGAAGCTCGTGTAGTACCTTGACTTCCTTGTACCATTGCTCCTTTAGTTCCGGATCGCTCAAGACGGTAGTCACGATTTGAGCTCCGTGAAGCGGGGGATTGCTGTACATGGGACGAGCTATTTGCTGCAGCTGACTCTTGACGTTCACAGCCTGCTGCGAGTTGTCACAGACGACACTGAAACGCAATGTTAGGAAACGAAGGAGAAAGATGTAGAATAAATGGCACCTCAAACATCCGACCCTCTGGCCATACAAGCCCATGTTCTTGGCAAACGACTGTGCGCACGCCAACTGGTGGCCATCTTCCATAAATATGCGAATTGCCTGCGCATCTCTGACCGTGTCACCGCTTGCGAATCCTTGATAAGCCATATCAAAGAATGGAAAGAGTCTATTACTCTGGAATAAACAGGTTTTTCAGTTGGAACAAAACCATCGAAGGCCCTGTACCTTAAAGAGCTGAGACATCTCTTTCCACTGGTCAGCAGTAGGATCAACTCCAGTTGGATTATGAGCACACGCATGCAGCAAGACGAAAGATCCCTCGGGTGCTTTCTGGCCATTTACAAGTTCGATTTTCAGAAAGGAAGAACGAAAAATTAGATCTTACTTTCAAATCCTCCATCAACCCTTCAAAGTCCAATCCACGCGTGCTGGGCTTGTAGTAGCGGAATGTGTGAGCCTCGACTCGAGCATCCCTCCAAATGTTATGATGACTGTAAGTAACGCACACCAAAAGGAGGCAATTTTTTTAGTATAAGAAAACCATTGCTGCGTTTGCTTACTTGGCCCAGGTAGGAACGGGGATGTAGATACGTGAATCAGGCTTGAATCGCTTCTGGAAATCAGCGAAGAGCCTGCAAGCACCAGTGCCGGAGAGCGTTTGAACGGCGGCAACGCGTTTCTCCTCGAGAACTGGGGCAGTATCGCCATAGGCGAGCTTCACCGAGAGATCGTTAAACTTGACAAGGCCCCCCATTGGAAGATACTCCCTGCGATTTAAAGACATAGTTTGATACCACTCGAGAACACAAATTTTCCACTCACATATTTTGCTTCCCGGCTATAATTTGCTCGGCCTTGCGGACGCATTCCAGAACGACTGGCTTGCCTTCGTCGTTTCTGTAAGCGCCCTGAAAAGAGAAATTCACACAGATCATCCGAAATTTCGACCGATCTCGATTGGAAATGCTAGATCGCAGCTAGGAAAACACTTACCACTCCAACATTGACCTTCTTCGGATCCGAATCCGCGAGAAAAGCCTCAGTGACGCCGAGGATCGGATCCCGCGCCGCCGGCTGCACAGCTTCCCACCAACCGGAGCGAGCTCCAGCAGGAACAGACGACGCTGGCGCCGCCGCCGTCGACATCAAACGCTGGCGCCGTTCCTCACAAGCCCGCTCGCCATGGCTCCCCAAGAACTTCTACAAAGAGGAGCTACTAGAGAATGGTAAAGCCCTACCTTGGTTAATCAACCACCATCCTCGGCCCACATTTTGCCACGTGGCCCCCACATTTGTCCCAACACTGTATTTAGCAAAATCCCGAAGAAAAAGAAGCATATTCGCTCCTCTCTGCCCGGATAAGTCTCGGGGCACATTCGCTCCTCTTTGGCGATGGCGAAGTGGAATGGTACAGCTCGGGGACGACTCGCCGCTCCGATCGAGAAGGTCTGGAAAATTACGTCCAATTTCGGGGGGCTGATGGAGTGGTCTCGTATTGGCGCCATGAGATCGTGCGAGATCTCGGAGGGAGAGAATGGGATTCCCGGCTGCGTGAGGAAGATCACGGCCGAATTGCCCGACAGTGGAGGCAGCGCAGAGATTCACGAGACGCTGCTGGAGCTGGACGACGAGAATCACGTCCTGAGGTACACGATCCAAGCCCCAGCGGTGGCCCTCTTTGATGGTCTCCGTCCCACTCTCAAGCTTTTGGATCGCGATGGAAGCACGGAGATCGAATGGGGCTACGAAGTCGATGCCGATCCCGCGGATCCGGCCAAGGAGCAGCGAATTGCCGCCGCTGTTCTTGGATTCTACAGTGCGGGCATTGAAAATCTCAAGAAGATCGTCGAATGAGAGAATCCTAGTATTATTTTTAATAATTTAACGATGACTTTTAAGTTGGCCTGACGCTTCGATAGGAAGTTTTCTTTGCTAGCTTTGAATTTTTCTTCGTTACATTTGTGATCTTGGTCATTAAGAAATTTACTCTGCTTTGCATTGACTTTCATTGACTTTGTAAAGATTTTGACTTTCATTGACTTTGTAAAGATTTTGACTTTTGGGGCCGAGCTCCTCAGGCCGAGGCAAAGAGCATCGCCACGATCGTACACTGGAGATCATGGCGCGCCGAAGCATAAGGAAGAACAGATTCCTCCACTTGGAATCAAGGTCACACACATCACCGCAACTTCAGACTGGACCTCCACGGCCTGATGAATGAATTTGAGGAAGAGATCGAGCAATGCTCTGGCCGTGTGGATCCACCACAGAGAGAAACTCACAATGTACCACATATTGCCAAGAACAAACCCGCCTAGACCAAATGGCTACCTGGAATCGTCACGCGATCGCAAAGTACCCGGGCATGGGAAGTCACCAATTACTGATAGATAGATCGTGAGGCCAAAGCCCGGATAGGTCTCAGGCTCGATTCCGTACAAAGGATTCGCGCGATGGCGAAGTGGAATGCAACAGCTCGTGGACAGATCGCCGCTCCGATCGACAAGGTCTGGAAAATCACGTCCGATTTCGGGGGTCTGATGGAGTGGTGCGACACTGGCGCCATGAAATCCTGCGAGATCGCGGAGGGCGAGAATGGGATTCCCGGCTGCGTGAGGAAGATCACGGCCGCATTGCCCGACAATGGAGGCAGCGCGGAGATTCTCGAGACGCTGCTGGAGCTGGACGACGCGAATCACGTCCTGAGGTACAAGATCCAGGCCCCGGAGATGCCCCTCCTCCATGCCACTCTCAAGCTTTTGGATCGCGATGGGAGCACGGAGATCGAATGGGGCTACGAGGTCGATGCCGATCCCGCGGATCCGGCCAAGGAGCAGCAAATCGCCGACGCTGTTCTTGGGATCTACAATGGGGACATTGAAAATCTCAAGAAGATCGTCGAATGAGAGAATCAAGGCATTATTATAAAATTCTAGCGTTGCTTTTTTAGGGCTCTTCCCGGTTCCAGCCAGGGTTGGATCGATCGATCGGTTGCTTGGGCTAGCGAATTGGAGGGGCGATCTCACTGCCGCAGGCTCGATTTTTCCGGCGCTGCAAGATGGGGCTCGATATGAGGTTTGTTTTGCTAGCTGAGAAAATGAAGAGAATTTTTCCCTTCGAAATTTTCTTCTTTGTTCTTCAGTAAGTTCCAGAGTCTTAGCGATCACGGCAACGTTCTCGTGATGAATTCAAGGCAAGAATGGCTGGCAAAGCTGGACGAGGCAAAGCGAAGTGGAAAAGTGGTAAATTTCTTCATCGTTTTCCTTTTCGTTTCTTTGAAAGAAAGCAAAGAAACTGTGATGCTTTGCGTGTAGATCGTCGTGGACTTTACAGCGACATGGTGTGGCCCTTGCAAGGCGATGGCTCCCATTTTCGTGGATCTCTCAAAACAGTTTGAGCAGCTCATCTTTGTCAAGGTCGACGTCGATGCGCTCAAGGCAAGTTTTTTCTTTTCTTTCTTTGTGCTTGTACACAGCGATCGATCGATCCATTGAAACTCTCTGCTTGGTTCTCCTCAGGACGTCGCTCAAGACTGGTCCATCCAAGCAATGCCGACCTTCATCTTCATCAAAGACGGCAAGCTCCTGGACAAGATCGTTGGCGCAAACAAATCCGAGCTCCAGCGCAAGGCGGCAATGTACGCGACCGGAGGATAATTGCCAAGCTCCCAATCGATCACCAAGCTCCCGAGCTCTCACATAAAACTCTCTATTCCAGATTATACATGACAATGCATGCACTACACTTTTGAGAAAGTTGCAATGCTAAGAAGATGCTTCCTTTGCCCCAAAGAGAAGTCACAATCTATAGCTATAGATTTATCGATTATATTCTTTTAGCATCGCAAGAGATGCTACCACCAGCTTGAGCTATGATTGATCCAATGATAGAAACACTATAGGGGTTTAGAACACCTAAAATTCCTTGGTTGTTCGTGGTTCGTAGTAGCCAGTTGGCAAAGGCACAGGCATTAATGTCTGCGCAATGTCCATCACATTTATCTCGCATGCGGTGAGTGAGAGAGGGATGTAAGAATTCATGGCAGACCGGGCATCACGAACTCCATAGTACTGTACTCCTCCTCCTCTTCTCCTACTAGATTGGAGCAGCGCGGAGCTTCTCTCGATCGATCGATAGCTCTACTGCAATGGGCTCGTCCGGGGGATTGATCTTCATCGCCGCCGCGGTCATGGCGGCGTCCGCGGCCACGATGATCCACTCCAAGAATGTGGATTGCACCGAGCAGATCGAGAAGATGCAGCCGTGCCTGGCGTTCGTGGAGAACCAGGTGAGCATCCCCGGATCCGACTGCTGCAAGGCGCTGCTGTCCGTGCACTTGAACAGCCCGGTGTGCCTCTGCAAGCTCCTCTCCAGCTCCAGCTCCATGTCCTCTCCCGCCGGCGTTAACGTCTCCAGCGCGATGCTCCTCCCCAGCATCTGCGATGTCCACACCAATGCCTCGCGATGCCCCGGTAAGCAATGCTAGCTCCTCGCGTCGCCCGGATCGCTTGCGCGAGATTGATACTCTCTCTCTCTCTCTCTCTCTCTCTCTCGATTTGGTTCCACGATCTCATAGTTTCATCTGCGATTGGGTCCACGATCTCATCGTTTCATCTTGTTTTGTTTTGCTCGATTGGGTTCTACGATCTCATCGTTTCATCTTGCTTTGAGCGATTGGGTTCCAGGATCTCATCGCTTCATCTTGCTTTGAGCGATTGGGTTCCACGATCCCATCGTTTCATCTTGTTTTGATCGATTGGGTGCCATCGTTTCATGTTTTGATCGATTGGGTTCTACGATCTCATCGTTTCATTTGTTTTGATCGCAGGACTTCTCGCTGGAGCGCCGGAGCCGTCTGATGGTAAGTTCTAGCTAGCATCATCCAGAAAAACCATATGCTTACAAGCTCTGGCCCTTTGCAGGGAATCGCAAAGCTTCGTCCGGTGAGTAGTCGAGCTCTCTCTCAGGACAAAGAGAAGATATCGTTTTTTTTTGTGTGATTGTTCTTCCAGAGGATCTAGCTTCCGGGAGCCAAAGGCTGGTCTGGAGCTGGATGTGGAGCACTGTCGCGGCGGTCCAGATCCTTTTTTCCATGCTTTAGAAAAGATAGAATCCACACAACAGTGTAATAGATAGTTCTAATACATCACTTACGCTTGCTCTAGGTAGGTTTAGGGTTTATCCCTCCTCTTCTATGCGATGGACTCGAGCGCGATGAAATCCGCGCTGCAGGAGCTCTTCGATCTGTATCTCGGGGTAGGATTTCTCACGGTCTAGGTGTAGCGTTGCCGATTTGCGCCGTTTCCAGCTCAATGCGCTCCTGTAGCGCCTCTAGTGCGATTCTAGTGTAGTGATTTGCTGCATTCCAGTTTCTAGCATGGATTAGAGCTCACAGGAGAGGATCTCCGCATGTTTATGTCGCTCACATCGATTTTTTTTCCAGAGGAACTCTAGCGTCAAAGGCGAAGGAGCCGGAGGGAGAGAGAATGCGTTAGCGATCTAGTAGCTAGTCGTGGCTCTACCGTAACTTTGTTTCCCTTTTTCTTCGCTCTTGCAGGACTAAGCAACGAAAGAAAGCTTCCACTAAACCGCATCCTCCTAACGAGCAGTTCCAGTCCGACTATCTTCTTCTACAAAACCAGTTCATGGTAGGCTTGTTTTTTTCTTGTTTCTCTATACGACGATTCTTCTTGCAGGATCACAATCAGCTTCAAGCGATAACAGAGTCACTCGTTGCCATGTTGTTCATACAATGTGGAAGTCACGCTCCCCAAGCCGACTTCTTACTCTTTGCTCTCCGGACGCTTGCTAGAGCCGGGTTGCTGCGCTCGGATATGTTTCTACTCGCCTTCTTCCGGGCCGTGGCTATGGTGGAGTCGAATCCTGTCGCTGTGACGCAAGCTCAGTCTTCTCCTTTAGTCTCAACGTCTGGGGAACCATCGACTAATATCTTGGTGACACCGTCTTCGGCCAAGAGAGCATCGGTTTGGCTGCGTCCGCTGGTTTGCAACGTCATGGGCGCTGCTCTGGAGGCCGAGTTGAGGCCAGTAGCGTCTTTCGACATGCTTTACCTCACCGTGCAGTGGATCAACGACGTTGCTAGCGGAAGCGAGGGATCGCTCAAAGACGTAACTTGGCTAGACAATTGTCTCGAAGTTTTGCGGATGCTGATAGACGAGAGGAAATGCCGAGTGCCATTCTACGCTCTTCTGCACGACCAGACGTTGCTCCAAGCGGACTATTGGCCTGAGAATGAAGCGCTCCTGGGACTCTTTCTCGATCTGCATCGGAGGCGTGACAGGATTGCTTTACACATGCTCATGTTTGATCATCACTTGCAGTGTCCAACCTTTTCAACACTGAGATCCACAGCGTTGACTTATGCAGGGGCGATGGGAGAAGCTCTGTATGGAGAGGTACTTCGTGTTTATTTTTCTATGTTTTTTCATTTCATTTGCGTGCGTGAATTGATCTTATGCTTCACATGCATATAGATAAATAGATAGAACTTCTTTATTGAAAGTTGTTACGTTGTATGTGCAGGAAGTTGCTGCTTCCGTTCAGCGTGACAGCCTAGATTATGAGAAGGCATTGCGGTGTCTTAAACACGGCCTACGAACAAATCCATCCGCCGACATTTGGAGGCGTGTTTTGTTATGTGCTCCACGGCACCGGCAGCAGCAGCAGCCTGTCCCTCCCAGACCGGGGCCTAACACTTCGTGGACACAGCCGGGGCTAGTTTTTAACTCGGAAATGACTTGCGAGGCTGTAGTGGAAAGAATTATGGATCTTATGCAGCCTATTTCTACGGGTAGGGGATTTTATCATATTTTCTCATTGTGAATGATATCTTGTCTAGATGGTTCCAGGGAGCCCTGCCTTCAGCGCGACATCCACAACAGAGTCGGGGAGATGGCAGGAATGGCTCAACTTTGCTGACTTGTTCTACTATTTTATGCGGAGAGGCTACCTGGATTTTCTTGAGTTTATTGAAAAGCTGGCCGGGGCTTTTGCAAGTGGAGAGCAGAGTATACAACGGAGCAATCATGTCACCTGGTTGCTTGCACAAGTATTTCGCCTCGAAACCGTCACACAGGCTCTGAGTGAGGACGAGGACTCGAGAAAGGTAGCCTCGTTTTCGTTTTCTCTTTTCCCTTCTTACAACTTGTATGTTCCAGGTGGAGACTGCTCAAAAGATACTGTCGTTTCACATGGCCGACCGCTCCGTGGATCATAGCAATGCTGTATCTCCTCAGGCGAAGCTTTTGGATTACGTGGGAAGCAGTCAGATTTTACGACTCTGGGCATTGAATCGAACTGTGATGGAGCATTTGGTGGGAAATCGAATGCCAGAGCACATTCAGAAAGGGAAAACAATTGATGAATGGTGGAAGAAAGTTTTGAAAGGTATTTCCTTGTTAGTGTAGTAAACTTCATCTTATTTTGTGTTTCTTTTGTCTATCTTTTTCTTCCAGGAGAACGCTTTCTAGACTATGCTAACCTGGATGACAACTCCATGGGAATGGTGTGGGTTTTATCACACACCATGACGCAACCCGTGGCTGACGCTGTGATGAATTGGATGCGGTCCAACGGTGTGGGGGAGGTTCTTGTTGGAAATGAAAGAATAGCGGTGGTTCACGAGACAAGCCCGCTTCCGATTGCCATGCTGTCTGGGTTATCTCTTCATCTTTGCATGCGGCTTATACAACAAATTGAGGAACAAATATTTGCTGGTCAGGTACGGCGCTTTTTTGCTTTTTTATGTTTTGTTGTCTAATACCTTCTGCCAGATGGTACCAAGCATAGCAATGCTGGAAACGTACGTGCGCTTGCTTCTTGTCGCACCACAGACATTATTCCAGCATCACCTGAACGTAAGTTGCTGAACGAGATAGACATGAGCTGAACATATTGAATTAACAGGGAATGATGCAAAAGTACCAAAGCGGTGCAGCAAAAGCAGGAATTTCGCTTATTCTTCTTGAGCTTCTCAACTATCGTTTGATGCCCTTGTACAGGTAAGTCTTCTTTCGTCTTTGTTTAGTTTAGCAAGTACTATGTATGTACAGGTTCCATGGAAAACTGAAGCAGCTAGTGTTTGATATGGCTAAGATTATAATTCCAATGAAGGCCAAACGTGGAGACCACCGACTCTTCCGTCTTGCAGAAAACCTTGGAATTAACCTTGTTCTTTCAATGAAAGAAGTTTTGCTTATAAAGAAGGAGAAGGTAAAATGCATCTCTGTCGCTGCAATTGTTATACTCTGCTTCTGATATTTCCAGGGTGCCACGACGGAATTCACGGAAACTTTGAACCGAATTATGGTAGTAAGTCTCGCTATTACTATCAAGACCCGGGGCATTGCAGAATTCGAGCAGCTACTTGTTCTACAAACTGCGTTAGAGCAAATACTTGCGAATAGTAAACATACATGGTCAGAGAAGACAATGCGGCACTTCCCGCAGACGCTTCGTGAAGTTCTCGCTTTAAGATCTGATGGAAGACTGCTAACTCTTCAAACTTGGCAGCAGGTTGGCTGACATATCATTTGTCGTAATTTTAACGTTCAAGTTTTACAGGTTGAGACTACTGTTTTGCACCAGTGTCAACAGCTTCTTGCAGGTGACCCAGCATTTGCCATGTCGTTTGTAAATCACAGTTTTCCTCCACACCGTCCGTTCCTCTGTGCCGCCGCCTGGGTTTTGATGGATTGCCGTCCTGAGAATTTCAACTGTGGAAATCTTGTACGTGATAGTGATGTTTTCGCAGCTGCTAACTTGTACATTTGTTTCAGGGTAAGGCGTTGAAAGAGCTGTCACCTGAAGACGTAACCTCGAATATCTACACGCTTGTTGATATCCTACTTCATCATATGCACCTCCAGCTACAGCACGGACACTCGCAGCAGGTAAATTCTTGATAATTTTTTTCCACTTTTGTGACAAGTTTGGGTTCTGCAGGATCTTCTGTTGAGGGCCAGTGCTACGTTAACTTATCTCGTATGGTCCCAGGAAATATTACCATTTGACATACTGCTTTTGGCGCTGCTAGACCGTGACGATGACATTCATGCGCTACGACTAGTGGTATGCTCATTTGTGGTTTCTCCTCTCACCATATCATGCTGATTACAGGTTAGTTTGCTCCTTGATCGCAAGGAGTTTCAGCAGCTTAGAGTTCAGAATTACTGTCGGCAGCATGGTCAGCAGGAGCACTGGCTGCATCCGGGGCCTTTCCAACGTGTAGAGCCGCCACAGGCCCTTGGAAATCACTTGGCTGGAAAGGAGAGGTATGATTGAGTATGGCTACTTGGTCACGTTGGTTCACTGTTTATTCTTAATGATGATTCAGGTACCCTGTATTCTTCGATGACATGGCTTTGCGCGCCTTGCCTGTCATCCACCTTGTTGTCTACCGCCTGATAGAAAACGACGCCACGGACACCGCAGAACATGTTTTGACTGCATACTCTCCTTTGCTACGTTACCATCCTACTCGTTTCACATTTGTGCGTGATACTCTTGCCTACTTCTATGGTCATCTGCCGAACAAGCTTATCTTGAGACTGCTGAGCAGCCTAGACATTGCGAAGGTAACAAGTTTCTATTGACTTTCCAGATGCATTATGAATCCGAGGTGCTTTTAACCAGATGCCGGTGTCGGAGGCGTTTATTCGGATACTCAACACTGGAACGCCTCCATATGACTACTACGTAACAATGCTCTTGAATCTGGTAAACAACGTAATCCCCTCGTTCACTAACAAGCCAAGAACGTCATCCCCGACAATGGAAAGTTTTAGCACGACGCGATCAACTACGCCTGGCAAGAGCCCGGCATCATCTACCAATTCGACTGACAATCACAAGGCGTTTTATCACCACCAGGATCCTGGAAGCTACTGCCAACTTGTCCTGGAAACCTGTGTCATCGAGCTACTATCTTTGCCAACACCTCCAGCGCAGGCAGTAGCAATGCTCGTCCAGATAGCAGTTCGTGTTCCAACACCTCCTTCTCAGGCTTACGCCTCAGCTTCACAGTCAGCAGCTCCACGGAGTCCCCTGTTGCCAACGTCTCCTCCATCAGCATGCACGGCAGAAAGCTCCACTCCGTCTTCTACCTCCGTCTCAACCGGCCAAACGATCTCGCCTTTCATATCTCCGCAAGTGATCCAAGCTTGCGGCCTTCTTTTGGCTCAGCTACCCAGACAATTCCACGATGTGTTCTACAAGGAAGTGGCACGTATACTCAAGGACTGTTGGTGGCTCAAAGATCCAAAGAAAAGTCCCAAGGAGATGGATGCTGCTTTCGGCTATTCGGTATGGGACCCCTCTTGGGCGGTTCAAGACGGGACGTCAAGTGTGATAGGTACAGAAACGATCTTTTTGCTTCTTATTCCTTTTTTTGTTTTTTTTTTTGTGCTAATATCTTCTGTACAACTTTGTCAGGGAATGCGGCCGCTTTGTTCCATGCATTCACGGCCAACATATCTTTCGAGTGGCTTGAAAACACGCACGACGTCGTCAATTTGCAAAGGCCGATGACCACAGTCGCGCAGCTGCGGCTCGCGTTTCGGATGTTGGGACCGTTAGTGCCGCGCTTCGTGATCTCACGACCTCTGTTCGCAAAGGTGATACTTTTATATCGCATTCTAAAATCCTCTTTTTAACTTGTTTTCGCTACAGACTTTAGCATTGCTATTCACAATGCTCGCAGAGGTGTTTGGCCGAAACGCCCAAGTTCACGACGTCACCGAAATCACCGATCTAGTAGATTTCATGTAAGTTCTACTCTCCTCTTTTGCTTTGATCATATAAAAAACCAAACTTGATGTTTGTGTGTGTCCAGGCACCATGTTGTAATGCTGGAAGCACAGCAGGCCGGTGGAAAACCAAGGCCCGACACTCTCGGCCTCTGCAACAAAGCGGTGGAGCGCTTACATCCCGACGTACAACACTTGTTCCAGCATCTTACGGTAGATCCCCAGCGATCGATTTACGCTGCCACTCATCCCAAGATCGCTCAAAGGCCACTCTCATGCTTCGCTACAACGACGTAAAACACACACACAAACACACACACACACAGAGTACTACTATCAATTCAGGTACTTCTAACCTTCTAAAAATCTTTTTTGATTTTTTTTTTCGGCGCTCAAAGTAACACTTCTTTCTTTCGCTCTAGACTTTGAAAAACCGCCCGCCTTTCTGTCCAACTCCCGTCCCAGCGAGGCTGGCAGCGAGGAGAGATCTCGTATCAGGCCGCCACTTAAACTCCTTCAGCGAAGCAAAGCAATTCGCGAGAGCTGGGCTCACCTCCGAGTCCCGGATGTTGTCGCAGAACGTCACTCGCAGCCGCTGGAGATCTTTCCAAGCCATCACCGCCGCCTCCAACCCGCTGGTGGTCAGAAGCGAGCATCCCTCGAGCGAGAGAAGCCGAGTCCTCCTGGCGCAGAGAAAGACAACGTTAATCACAAGCTCGCCATAAAAGCTCTAAAGGCTCTTACCTGCATTTGCTCGCCATGCTAAAGGTCTCGTCTTCCAGCCCCCAGCAATCGTTAAACTCGAGCTCCCTCACGTTTCTACACACGCTCAGCAGCGCCGCGAAGCCCAGCCGATCGCGAAGATCACACTTTGCGAGCTTGAGACAGTCCAGCGCCGAGCAGTGGCCGAGGTACTCCGGAGGCCCCGGGTCTACGTCGATGTTCCGGCAACTCACCAGGCATAGCTTCTTCAAACACGAACATTTCGACAAGGCAGCGATCCAGCCTCTCTGGAATCCTTTGGTGGACAGCGTCAGCTCCTCGAGCATGAAGCAGCACTGGCCGATGGCAGCGATGCCGTGGTAGCTCGCCTCGCAGCCCATGAGCTCGAGCTTGACAATTCGGCTAAACCGGTTGGCTAGAACAGTGAGGCCGATGTCCGTGAAAGTGCCCAAGTAGTGCTCCGTGACGAGGCCGACAAGTCTCACTATCTGGAGGTGGCGGCACGCGGACATGGCCGTGAGGGCCTCGTCTGTGCACTGGAGGAGCTCCAGCTCTTGCAGCATCGGGCAGCTCCGCGCGACGTACGCAAGCCCGGCCTCGATCTCCGCCACCATTTTGGACGATGGTGCTCTCTCGGACGAGAGCGGCACCACCTTTGACGAGGCGCGATCCGACGAGAGAGTCACCACAGCAATTGGCTGCTGCTTCTTCTCCTCCACCGCCGCCCGGGAATCGTCGAAGACGCGAAGAAGACCCTTGATGGATCGCTCCCTGTAGACGTCCTTGAGGGACAATCGCTGCAAACCTGAGAAGCTATCGCCGAGGATCTTGAGACCGCTGTCCAGGGCGGCGGGGGAGAGCTCGTGCTCTTGGATGCATCGCTCCACCGGGAAGATGTCCACCACGTCGGGCGTGAGGGGCAGCGTGTAGGAGCCGTGCGTGAGAAGCACCGCGGAGCAATTCCTGGGGACGAGCACGCTGGCCTGCGTCAAATCCAAGTCGGTGAGATTGGGAAACCTTGCCTTCAGTCGCCCGCTCTCGAGGTAGCTCCACTCGTGGAGCTTGAGGGATCGGCGCAGGAGGCCGTGGAGCCGGAGCCAGCGCTTGCAGACGAGCGAGCAGGGATACGGCGACGATCCTCCGGGCAGCCGGGCGAGGATGCTGAGGAGAATTTCGTCGGTGAGGAGGGCGGTGAGATCCGTCCCGGCCAGGAATTTCGCGGGATCGATCTTGTTGCCCAGGCCCTTTCCCCTGATCTGGTGATGATGCTGCTGCATCGCCAGATCGATCTGCGAAGATTGGGATCCCTCTCCAGGCGCGCCTTTTTGACACATGAAAGGAAACTCTCCGGTGCGCGCTCTCCCTCCGCCAATGCGGCCTACAATCGCATCGATCGATCGAATTCCACGGCCGTGGCGTGGGAAATCCCCGCGCTAGAACCCTAGCGCCATAGCCCGGGCGGCCCCTTTCCCTCTTTGCTTGCTCTTTCAAACCCTGGGACGCGTGACAAGCCGCCCAGCGGAAAAAACAAATGCCACATCACTGTAGAGAGAAAAAAGAAGAGAGATGCAATGCTTCGCTTCGTGGATGCGCTCAAACCCGACGGCCCAGATGCGTCCAAATCCGACCGTCCGGCATGGCGTACGCACGACCGTCAATTCCGAGATTTGTACAAGCTAGATTGGACGAATATCCTCGCAAAGCTGGAAGGAATATTTTACGCTTTTCTAGCTTAACCGGTAATGGTTTAAAACGGACTCTCTTCCGAAATCCACCTCCTTGAAAGCTCCACTCAACTAAACGGATCAAGGCTTGTCTATCGGATGGACTGTCGCTACTCCAAAACTTAGCGATCGATCGATTGATCTGCGAGAATGGAAATATCAAAGTAGCTAAGCGATCGAAACGAGCTGCCTACCACTATAAATCCCTGAAAGAAGAGTTTTTTTTCCTCTTTTTTGTGCTCGACCACTCACTCCTCGTCCATCTCAGATCTTACAGTCTCCACGAGCTCATTGATGGCAAGCACGGCCTCTTGCAGGGATGTCACAGCTTCTTTATGAGCGGCCAGGTACTCGGCCTCGGCTTGACACTCCTCCAGGCCGGAGATGGCACCATCCAGCTCTGCCGGGGTGCAACACAAGTTACACGCCTCAGGTGGAGCGACTCGCCTTTGATCGGTGGCTTGACGCTCGCTGGGGTGGCCTGCTCGTTTCAAGATCTGGAGAGTCGCAGTCTGCAAGAGCAAAGCATTAATTCACCCGAAAGAAAAGTGTAGAAAGCTTTTAAGAGAACAAAACTAAAACCTGGGAGAATGGAAACAAAGGAAGGATTTGTAGCGAGGAACTTTTAAAGCATTCAAAGAAAGTTCGAAAGAAAAACAGAAAAGATAAAAACGAAGCTTTTAAGAGACCAAAACTTAAGCCTGGAAGTGGAATGGAAACAAAGCTCGGGAGGGATTTCTGGCGAGGCATGCAGAAACAAAAACTTGAAAGCAATCAAAACTGTGAAACAAAAAGAAAGCTCTTTGTCTACTTTACCATCTGGAGCTTTTTCTTCTCGTGAGACTGCACGGCCTGCAATAACACCGCGAGGTCCTCCCTAGAGCACGCAGGATCTCGCAACGCAGCTTCGATTTCAAGCACCTAAGGATTTTGGCAGCATGGCACATGACAAGAACACAAAAATTAAGAATTTCCAAGGAAGAGGAAAAAAGGAACTTTGTGGATGGAGGGATTGATTGCCTGTCTGGAACACTCATTAAATTCCACTGTCACTCTGCCGCAAAGCTCCTTGTAAGCGAGCTCCGCATTAGAACGAAGATAATCTGCAAAACCCCTGGCCAGTAGCTAGAGTGTCACTGCTCGGACGAAATCGCAAGAATTTCCACCGATCAACTACGATCGAGACGGCGCAAGCAAAGATATAGCATTACCTCTGGAGCTCCGTGTAGATCGTTGCTCGCCGCTCCTGGAACTCGAGAAACCGGCGAAGGAGCTCCTTCTCCGCCATAGCCAATCGCGCTAGGGTTTATACTTGCGAGGGTTTTTTCTAATTTTCGCGCCAAAACGATTAGGGCAAGCTATGGCGGAGGAGAGCTCCGCTCCATCTCCGGCGGCGAGACAACACAGGTTTGGAGTCTACCAGAATGCGGCGATCGCCTCGGCGCTGGATGCGCAAGGATCGAGGAGGAGCTCGCCGCCAGCGATTATCGCGCTTGTTTTCCTCGTTTCCACTTGGGGATTGCTCTCGATTTCTTACCGGTGAGTGGGCTCTAGGGTTCCTGGCTGGGTTCTAATGCTCACACTGTTAGGAAGGAGACGATCAAAGACACAATGCGGCTTGTTGGGCTCACGTATCTCTTCGCAAGTAAGATCTTTCTATCTTTTCTATCTCCTTGGTACTGATGGAACAAAAAACTAACGTAGAAACTACCGTGAGACTTTGCCAAGTCGTTCTTACGCTCGTCTTCCTCGGTGCATTGTCCGCGTTCTTGAAGGCCATTTTTTCTTCCGAGGAAGGCTACTTCGTTTTCAAGTCATCTTCCCAGATTTCATCGCCACTGACACCACGGCAAGAGATGCTACTTGGAAGGCGAAGCTCAAGAACAGCACTGCCGCCGCCAAAGACTGCCAAATCTCCGACCGCGGTTTCTCCAAGCACGATGTTCCCGATCCATCCTCCGCTGTTCAAAGGCGGAGTGAAAGGAAGTGGCCAAGCTCTCGGGGCTGCGTCTCCAGCAACACCAGTGCAAGTGAGTACATTTCCATACACACCATCGGTGGCTTCTTCTCCAGACTCGAGTTTTCTTCCGTGGACGCTCAAGTACAGGAACGATGAGATTCGGACTGAGGAGGAGCTTGAGAGTTTTCTCTCGGACGTGGGAACTAGAATGGTCGAGTCTTCAGGGAGAGCAGGCAGCACTCCACAGGGTGGTCCAGTTACGCCATCGCCAATACGAGTTCTAGGTGCCGGCTCCGGTCCAAACGTGATGAGCACTACACCTCGCTCTCCAGCAACTGCAGGGACACCGGTACGAGCCGTAAGGGTCTCGCCAAGTTCTCAAAAGTCGGGTGTTTCGCCAAAGAAGGCAGAAGGTGATCTTCCTGCTCCTTTCACAATCGAGCAGGCAACAGATGGCTTTAAAAAGCTGGGTTTGTGGCCTGATATCGAGCAGTGGAGAGACGGTCTCAGACAATGGATTTCGGACGTTCTGCTTGCGCCACTGCTCTACAAGATCGACAGGAGCCATCTACAGGTAGCGAGCAGTATTGGTTTTCATGGCATGACAATGCTTTTATGACGTTACAGGTTATGGAGACAGCGGCGACACTTAGTTTTTCCTTGGCAATCAGTCCGATCGAGGGTAAACGCAATAGCAACAGCAGTCCTGGAATGGATGGGAGTGCACAGGAATGGCTCACGACATTTGCTCCAGACGAGGACGCGCTTATTCATCAGTTTCGTGCATATCTGCTAAACGCTAAAAGCTCCACGCCGAGTAAGTTTTTGAGTTGACGAAGGCTGAACGTCTCTCTAACAATGCTCGTGTCACGCAGCACCATCTATTTTCGGGTTGAAGGTTCCGAACGAACAGGATGTGAATCCTTTACTGCAAGCGTGCCTCGATGCCGTCACTGAGCATCAACGATTGCGTGCTCTTGTAAAAGGCGAATGGGTGAAAGGACTTCTCCCCCAGAGCAGTGTGAGATCAGATTATACGGTCCAACGTCTGCGAGGTACTCGCTTCTCTTTCTGTTTTTTTTTTCTTTCTTCAGTTTTGACGAATGCGTGAAATATGTTCATCTTCCAGAGCTAGCCGAAGGCACTTGTGTCAGGAAGTACGAGTTTGCTGGAACGGGCGAAGTTTACGACAAGTCCACGAAGCGCTGGAGCTTGGAACTTCCAACAGACGCTCACCTCTTGGTCTACCTTTTCTGTGCGCTGCTGGAACACCCACAGTGGATGCTGCACGTCGATCCAACATCTCACCCGAGCACTCAGTCAGGCAACAATCCACTCTTTGTCGCCAGCCTTCCACAAAAGGAGCGGTTTCCAGACAAGTATGTGGCAGTCTTATCAAGCGCTCCTCCAGTGTTACATGCTGGTGCGTGTATTCTAGCCGTCGGCAAGCAAAGTCCTCCCGTGTTTGCTCTCTACTGGGACAAGAAGCTGCAATTCTCGCTTCAGGTAAACAAGCTCTCTTCCATTTTTATCGCTTCTCTGAAAGAGTGTTTCTCCAGGGACGAACCGCACTGTGGGACGCGATTTTGCTCCTTTGTCATAGGATCAAAGTCGCGCATGGTGGGATTGTTAGAGGCATCAATCTTGGCGGCCAGGCTTTTAATCTTCTGTCGCTACTGGAACAGCCTTGTGGCGAGAATTAGCGAAAGAGTCATCTTCACTATACTTATTTTATACGATTTAATTTTACATGGAATTGAATCTAATTTTAATGTTCACATCCTTCTACAAATTATTAACTTGACAAAAATGTAAGAATAAATAATATAATTTGTTTTAAATTTCATATTATTTTGAAAAGTGAAAAATAATTTACTATGCTACTTTACAAAATAAAATATATAAGTAATAAAAGGAAACGGCTTGAAATAAATTTTTTAAATTAATTAAGTTTGTAAAAGTTTAATTAAGAGTTTGTTCATATTTAGTAACAAATAGGTATTAAGTTTAACTAGATTAATTAGTTAATAACATATTAAAATTAACATTTAACAGTTTATAATAACCTAAACTTAAAGGATCTAGAGTTAAGAAAGATTGTTTTTTGAAAAACTGTTGTTTTTATCTTTCATTTAAAAAGGTGTAAAATTTATAAAAAAATATAATGACTAGAACTTTTTTAAATTTAGTTAAAAATTGTATGATACATAAAGTTTTTTTTATAATTTAAGTAAGGTGTCCTCTCAAAAATATATATTGTAAGTTCTGATTATATTGCTATAATGTTGTATACTAATATTAATGACCATACACTAAAATTAGCATAATGGGATTTTGATAGCTGTTATATTGATTCAATTCATACCTCTTGCTCTTGTATATAAGCTATGGTTTTTGGGTTAATTAATGTACACATTTTTGTATTCCATTTCCATATTTTATCCATCACATAAAGCAGCTTTAATTATTCCTAAGAAATGCTTGGATTTAATCTTTTGGTTTAGATTTAACTTTTGCATTATCTAAATCATACTTCCCTTGTAATTTTTCCATTTTCTTCTCTTTTAATATTCTTTTTTTATTCATCTTCATAGCAAAATAGTAACCTCCTCCTCTTTTGACTTTGAAGTAGTAGTTGGTGCAATTGTTTGATATTATGTAGATAGAATTAAACAATTAAACTTAGTTGATAATAATATTTATGGCATGTGGTACAACTCCTTCTATTTTTATTGCTAATCCTTGTGTTTATCCAAAATAAGAATCCTAGGGATGATATGTACCATTGATTTGATCACTTTACAATAATTATCACATATCATTTTTAGGATGATGTTTGGCATTTATATGAGTTTCTCACATATCTCCAAGTGGCATTGCAGTGGTACAATAGTTTGAGTGTAGCCACTCATGCAGGTTAGAATATTCTCCCAGACATCTTCAAGCATACATTTGGACATGTTTTCAATTGTGATGATGCTTTTTAACAATCATATCATCTTCATCAAGGGCCAATTAAATTAGTGATGCAATTTGGTATTTGCTTCTAAAGCTCTTTCTTCATGTAAAGCCAAATATATTGGAGCGAATCAAGTTGAGAATGTTGTAGCTAGCACTTTGTCAAAATTTTGTGGACTTTATGCATGCACTTGCTTTAGCCACCTTTGATGATATTTTTCGATTAGCACAATACTATGAAGCATTGCTTTTTTCACTTTTTATTACATATCTTTCAGCTCCACTTTCTATGGGAGATGGTCTTGTTTTGATGGAGGTCGATGTTGTTGCTGTTTGTGTTCAAGGACAAACACAAAGATATGGTCATAGCCGTGATGTGCACTACTAAACGTGTAATGAAGTTAGTCACACGTATCAGCATTGTTGGTATTTTCCAGATTGACATCCTCCATTTCCTGGGTGGAGGCTTTTGCGTCAACAATTTTTTATTTGTGTTGTTACTGTGGAAAGTTTTGACATAGAGATTCTTTCGGGAAATAAACAATTATGTGAATAGTGGGGGATCCTTGCACATATAAATCAATAACCCTTCCATCCTTCTTTTGGGAGTACTATTAAAGGGTTCACTTGGCACAAGTTCATTTAATGTTGATAATAATGCCATTCAATTTGAACAATGCTTTAATGACTTTCTAGTAGATGATGGATGAGGTTTTCTATGATATGCTAGAGATAACTATTGTGTTTAATGTGTTTACAACTATTGTTAGATACTTCTTCCTCAATTAAATGGTGTTCTAACATTTCTATTTAGAGTGGATTCTCTCAGATAATGGTCTCGCATTTATAGATAAGGCATTTCACATTTTAACATCTTGGCTAGGGATATATCACACTTTTACAAGTGTTTATCATCCACATATAGATGGTTTGATAAAATGGCTTGTTCAAAGGGATGATCGTGAAGTATATGAACTTTTAGCATTTGGATTAAGATGGTTATTTGCCATTTTTTTAGTATATATATATCATAGAGGTACAGAGTTTTGTTAGTGCTTTTTTATATAAACTCTTATATGGTCATGATCCGATATTACCAATAGAGTTGAATTTACCTTTGTGATTGCTACAAGCTACCAATGCTAAATCTTAAGATCAGTATTTTATGAATATTTTTCCACTTGTCTAAGTGGAGTCTATTGAACACTTGAGTTGTATACAAGTGGGACAATAAAAACATTATAACTCCTATCATTGTCCACCTATGGAGTATAAAATAAATGTCTTGGTGTTAGTGTGTTTTTTTAACCTTATAATACGTAATTTGTTTAAGGGGCTCTTTGTTCAATGGAAGGGACTGTATTGGATGTTATGGCAAGTTGAACTGCAAGTTTATGAAGTTCAGTATAATATTCAA